AGAGAGAGAGAGAGAGAGAGAGAGAGAGAGAGAGAGAGAGAGAGACCACCAGCCCACTGAGCACAAACTTGCAAGAAGCAGAGCATGCAGAAAAAGCTCCGCAAGACAACAGTGCGGCTGCTGGACGGGTTTTGAAGCTACAGAGGCAGCAGAGCTTGTTGCGGATTACAATGATTGCCACAACTCAACAAAACATGACCACGGAGCTGGTATGTGTGTGTGTTTTATTTTCATTTTTCTATCACTACTTAGTTTTTCCATATATTTAGTCCAGTGTGTGTGCGTGCGTTTGCGCGCGTGTGTAGTGTCTGATGTGCAGTGGGGAATTCCTCATGTATGCCCACAAAACGATGATTATCAATTAGTGTTTTAGACCATTTCGCCCACTCAGACTTTTCCGTCAATATTCATCTCCTGGACAGCATTGACTCTGTGCACTGCGGTGCAAGGCTGGTGTGGTAACTCGACGTCCACAGCCTCTCACTCTTATTGTCGCTCTGTCCCGTAGAGACTTTTATACCATGATATCTGCATCACAAAAAAAATGTCGGTATAATAATCGCATATAAAAAATTGTCCCAGCAGAAAAAATGTCCCCTCGAACCAGGACAACGAGGCTCAAACCTACAGCCTGCACTGTATGATTGATTATCTCTCTGCTGTGTAGGTGTATTGTCATTGAACAAAGACTATGAGCCGATACATCCTCTGTTTGTGTTTTTGCTCACACTATTAACACTCATTGATTATGCCAAATGATGGCTTTAGTGAAATATCTATAATGTAATTTATTCTTTAATGCAGCTCTCCCATTTAATTGTAATTGACATGCACACCTGCTCCAATGCGACTTCTCCTGGTATTTAAGACAGTTCATCTCTGTTCATCACTATGTCACACTTTGTTTTTAATTGGATTTACTTACGTAACTACTCTAACATGCAGTGCTTCCTTCTTCGAATCAAACTTTCCTATGCTGCATCAGTCATTGTACAACAATTTTACTCTGGTGCTGCACTTTCTCCACAGTGCTGTGCAACAATTTAAAACCTTGCCAACTGAGCTCTCCTAATTAACAGATCTCAACAAACTGTCATTCTTGGGAAAGATTTTAAATCATGAGCTGATTCGTGCACAGCTACTCTGTTGGAGAAAGCATTTGAGAGACTATGGAGCAGTTAAATTAGGTCTAATTGGTATGCAATATGATCATGGTGATGTCTGACATTAAGTGTCACACTAACCTTCAGTTTATTCTACTCTTGGTGAAACCAGCTTGAAGGGTCCGTGTGATAATACTGCAGCATTATTGTTTTTTTGAGAGGGGGCCACACAAGGCTGCGGGGCTTATAAACATCCATTACCTGCAAATGTCGCAACATTTCATGTCACGATCTGTAATCAATGTTCTTTACACCGTGAAGCATTTAAGGAGGCCATACGATTGTCGGTCTCCGTTTATGAGAAAATGCAATGATTTATGGCATAATGTGGGTTGCTACTTGTGTCATACATCTGTGTGTCACAGTATTAGACCTACCACGATACAGTAGGAGCAAAGAGAATTGCAGAGTCAACATAAATGACTTGTGTTACCACTCAAATATGAACACCACATCAGAAATTCCATGCCAGGAATACATAATTCGTTGGTTCAGTTAATCCCTGGCATTAAGGAAGAAAATTATACTAATGATGTAATTCTTTTTTTTTTTTCAAAGTCAATATTGTTTTAACATTCATCCTCAGCACTGATGATGTGACAATATGACAAAGTGTATTGTTTTAATGTATAATGAGCATATTATAAGCCTATTTCTGGGGAGTCTCAGCCTAGTGACAAATGCCATATCTTTCGTCATATTTCACTGAAACACTACATCATGTCAACTGCAGCTCTCCCACATGGATTTAACTGATGCTGCTTGTTTCCTAGAGGCAGGAACTCGGTCACTGTGAGTGGCTGGACATACTGAGGAAAAGCTCCCTCATACATACTCATAGCCCTTTTGTACAGTCATTTTCTTATGCATGATGGGGAGCGTGAAAAGAATAAGACAGCGCGGCCTTGCAGTGCTAGAGGCTAAAGCAGCAGGTCTTTCATTTCACAAAGGCTTGTGCTGCATTGTCTGGCAATAGCCTCGAGGGCAAAACAATTTGCCCAGTTAGTCTCATATGGTGTCTATACCACCCACTTTTTTATTTTCTAATAAACACAAATGGAGAACGGGTGGCACAGTGAGTGGGAGCACAGAAATGTGTCTGGATGTGATGAAAGATAGCCTAGATATGAATCAATATTGATCTGTAGTATCTCATTACAGCTCATTGGTTACCATTTATCCCAACCACACTAAAGTTACAGCCTGCTAATGATGACTTTCATTTTAAATGAGGCAGTGAGAGATATAGACATAGCCATACAGACGTAGGTTGCTAATCTACAGCTTTCCCTTGAGAGCAATTGCAGCGTATCATTAAATTAAGGAGCACATAGGTTATATTGAGGTATTGTATGTGTCTGCCAATAGATCTCCCCTTTTTTATGGTGCTGGTTATACCATTGATGCATCTGCCAATGTCATGTAAGTAATAAACATCATTGCCTGATGTTAAAGGGGGCTTTAGAGGTATGCAAATCCAGAACCAGAAGCCCCAAACAGCCTGCAATGGCTCCCTCATTCCTCTGCCTATGATTTATTATTGGATTCTTCATGCCTCAAAGACACAGAAGATGGAGTTAAGGAGGTCTCCAGAGCCTAATTTATGAATTCTCCGCACTGCCTTGATTCTGCACAACCTAGTTGTATTGCTCGCTATGCAGATTGAGAAACTGTGTTTAAGTGTGGCTTGCTTTTTTTTGGAGCGCAACCTCAATCAATACAGTTGGAATTGTTTGATTGTGTGTGCAGTGCTCTGAGAAGAAGAAGGCAGTTATCTGGAATCTGTGTGTAAGCAGTTTAATTTACGCTTCCAGTCCGATAATTGTGATTCCTAAGTTGAAATGATAGAAAGGTTAGAATAGGTCTGCATAGAGGTGTCATACTTGGCAAGAAACAGTGTTCAACAGAGGTTGTCTTCCTAAAAGTCTCCTTCATCGCTGTATTCCCACTGTTAATTGTTTTCCCTCTGGACCATGTACCACTGTACACCTTATCGATTCTCTCATTTGGTTGAGTTAAAAATCCCCTCGCTCTGCTGGCAAACAGAAGAGCTCTCTCTTCTCTAATGCAGTTTTGCATGGTTTGCCAAACAAATCCTCTCAAGGGGATTCCTTCCGTAAACATAACCTTTGATTAACATTCCTGCACTCTTTGCTGTTTGACAGACACTTCATCTAGGCTTCTACTCCAACTCCTGTGGGATTTCAGAGGCTGAATAAATGAGATGGCTCTCTTAGATTCATATTTGATCTTGCTCTGAAGAAAACCTGATTAACAGAAGCCTGCCCTTCACACAGCCCAGCTCGTCATCTGTTTACCTGTGCCTGCAGTTTGTGCTGCACTAGATTCCCTCATGCATTGGGATCAGCGACCAGTCGGCACTAGCAGCTTCGCCAATGTTCTCTCTGGGGATTCCGCCCGGCACATCTCGCAAGTTTGACAAAACTCCTCATTCACCCAAACGTGGGATTCTCCCGGTCTGTCACAACGACGATGTGACCTTAATTGGAAGTATGGTCTAATGTCTGGGCTCAGGGGAATGATAGGAGCTGGGCATCCCATTATGATGATGTTTCCGCTCTCACGTTGCACACAGTAATTAGACGGACGACTTGGGATTGAAAATACTGTGTGACGGAATCAGTCAATAGGAGGAATTTAATTTAAAATGTCCCTTTCTACTGTGAGATCCTGGAATATAATTATTTATATGTTTACGTTAAGAGACATTCGGGTCTCAATTTTCCAAATTTCTAACAGTTCAGTCAAACAGAAAGCGCTGAAGATGCAGTATGAGTCAGTGTTGACTGTATACTACTCCCAAAGCCTTCATAGACTGCTGAAGGTTTCTTTATCTGACGGGAGGATAATGGTGGAGAGATTCTGTGCTGAGAGGCCAGTGGAATGAGACAAAACAGAGTGTTAGAAAGACCAGTATCGATATACGGGCATGGACATCAGTCACCCAGCTCTGGCCTGCCCTGAAGGTTCAAACATTACTTAAAAGTTGGTTCTGCAGGTGCAACTGGTAGTGGTTTTAATTTGAACATGCTATGATACTGCAGCCAAGGAGATCTATTAAAGATGAGACCTTGGCAGGAGTTCTGTGCTGGCAACCAGTCGCGATAGAACAGGCTGTGTTTGTCTTCCATTCATCATGGATATAAAGTAAAACTGCTTCCTTGTGATAAGAGAGAGAGACAAATTCTCAAAGGTGTTTCTAAAAAAAACATTGTGAATGGAGAATTTTTATCTTATCAAAATAAATGGCACACAGAGGCATAAAGACAATTTAGAAACCTCTCTGCTTCTGGTTCAACTGCATTGACCTTTACACCTCAGTCCCTGATGAATTCACCATCTTTCACTTTCCAGAAATGGATTTTTAAGACATTTTGACTCCAGTTAAGTGAGTGCATTCTCAGTTTTCAGCACTTTAATACACTATGTGCTACGGCTTTAAGTCAGATGGTCAATGGGGTAGAGAAGTGTATGTTTGTGGAGAGGATATGTTAGGTGTGACCAATAGAACTGATTCAGGGACAGCTGGTGTCACCCAGGGAGCACGGAGGAACAGCAATCTGTTGACCAGCAGGCCAAAATGCCTTCCTTCAGCTGCCCGCCTCCCTAATGCCTGGAGGAAGGTGATCTGGACAGGCGAGGCTGTGAAGGTTAAGCCAAAGGGTGGGGCAGCCATAATGAGGACTGAAATGTTGTACCTTCTGTGTGATTGAACTCTCACACTCCAGCGGCTCTGTGGCTCCAGCAGTGCCAGGCACTCGTTATGAGGGAGTGGAGTGCAACTTGGGAACAGCATGCAATTGTGCTTAATTGTAACTGATACTGATGCCGGCTCCTTCCATCAGCTCTCTCTGATCACATACAGAGGATATTCACAGAATCCTTTTGTCTCTTGATAACTGAAGCTTGGTGTATAATTTATTGTATAGTTATGTAGTCCCAACTACTTCTTCTCATTTTCATTGCCTCGTTAACAACTTCATCCAGTGCTGTTGAATAAATTCTGGTCCACCGAAGCAGATGAAATAGGTAGCAGCTTTTCCTATAAAAAGCACTCAGGCACCACATATTTCATTATAACTTTCACCACCTCCTTATTTTTTATTTTTTTGCCAAACCACATAGCCCATCAATCATGTAACAAGTGAAATGAGGCGATGATAAAGAAAAATTAAAGTGCGGCCAAAATTGCTGCCTCAATCAAGCTGGTCTCAGTCCCCCCCCCCCCCCCCCCTGGGGCTCGCTGTGTTTATGTGCCTGTCGGGGGGGCAATTTCTGTGAGAGCGTGGAGATGAAGCAGCACTAATGTCCTCCTCCACTGCTGTGCTCGCATTCATCACCGTGTTTGTGTGTGCTCTTTTCATATCAGGACCTGGGGAGTTCAGATGGTCCCCCGCGGAACTGGAAGGGCATAGGAATAGCCATGGTGGTGATCCTGGCTGTTATGTCTCTGGTCATTCTCTCCGTCATCGTCCTCACGCCCGGTAAGAAGAGCTGTATGGAGGACAAAAGGCAGCGAAGCAGAGATGTGTTGTAATTTAGGGAATTAAAGGGATAGTGTGATATTTTGGGAAATTTGTTATTTTGTGGAGAGTTAGATGAGAAGATCGATACAACTCTCACATCTGTAGAGTATGAGGCTATAGCTTGCAGCTGGTTAGCTTAGCATAACAAGACTGACAACAAGGGGGAACAGCTGGCCTGGCTCTGTCCAAAAGTAACAACATAGTTCTACCAACACCTCAAAAGCTCTCAAATTGACATATTGTATCTTGTTTATTTTATCTGATAGAAAAGTTAATTCACCCTTTTTTGTTCCATAGACTGTATAGAATTTGGAAGTAGTGCTACTTGACATATAGGTTATATTGTGGGCTGTATCTGTCTGCTAATAGATCTCACCCATTTTTATGGTGGTTTATGTATCTTCCAAAGTCATGTAAGTAATAAACACCGTTACCTGATGTTAAAGGGGCCTTTAGAGGTATGCAAATCCACAACCAGAATCCCCAAACCTGCGATGGACCAGAGGTTTCATATTTTTTTATTGTTTGACAGAGCCAGGCTAGCTGCTTCCCTCTGCTTCCAGTCTTTATGACAAGCTAAGATAGCTGGCTGCTGGCTGTAGCCTTATATTTATTGCACAGTTAAACTTATGAGAGTGGTATCCATCTTGCGATCTCCAGTTAGTAGCCAGAAAGAGAATAAGTGCATTTCCCAAAATGTCGAACTTGCACTTATGTGGACAAGCATTTTACAGATGTTTAAATTGTTTCAAACACGGAAGGTAAACGCTGTTAGCTCTGTCAGCAGGTTTGCCATAAGTCGTTGAGAGGCAATAGAAATGCTCCCAATCTCGTCTCTTTCCAGTCTTCTCTGCAATCTGTCAAATAAAGGCAAAAATGTGAAAAATGTATCGAAAACCGAAGCAGACGTATAGTCCAGGCTCCAACACGCTCAGGCTTTACTGTAAACATACTTTTTGATGAACTAATCAACTCTCGTCTCTTTGCCTCTGAAGATGAATCTCACTTATTACTCCGTTCCCATCTCACTATGGAGGATCTGGAGAGTGAAGAGTTCCAAGTACATGACCTCTGTGTGGCATGGTTGAACGGTAAGGACCCCTGTTCTGTCTCGCAAATTACTCCTAAATGAAGTGTTCATGTCAGTTTAATACCACTTAATCGATCTCACCTGAAACTGAGATGCTGGTTTGCAGCTAGCAGCTGTTTCTGCCTCTGTGGATTTAAGCCATCACTGTAATAACACAGGATCCTCTTCCCTGAACTGTCTTGACCCTGTCAGAAAACGAAGTGGCTCTCCGCACTAGAGAAGGACACGTCCTGTCGTTTAGCCTCAACAGCAACCTCACCTCGACTCTGGTGGACAACAGCTCCCTGGTGAGTTACAGCAACACAGCTTTTGAGGACAGGGGACAGATTTCAGTATTGATTGGCTCATATCCACAGACAGCTGGACAAATCGACTGGCCAATAAAGTTTCCAGATCGAGAGAGAGAGAAGCTGTTGGGTGCCACTTTCCCAAATCCCACACTTGAGACAAAAAAAGAATCGGCAGAGTGACAGTATCAGCTCATTTCCTCCAAAAATCTGGCTGCTCTGTGAGCCCTCTCAACATGTGGCTTCAAAGAGAATTTCCCAAGCAAGGGCATCATTTTGAACACCGCCTCTGCGCGACAGCCTTATATGGGTCATCGCCGAGGAGCTTAAAGCAGGGTTGTGTTGTCAGGTTGAGGACAAGTCTCTCCTCGGCGCTATGATGTGATTCGTTATCTCTGCTGCTCTTACTAATTCCAGAAAAATATGTATTCCTGTATGAATACCAAGATGCACATGGTGTTTCCCTAAATAAATGAATGGCTGACACAATTTTAGCTCCATATAGTGTCAAAGATTGACATTAGAATTCATAGTAATTAATGAAACTTTTTTAGACCAGAAAAATACTTTGCACATCTATTTCAAGAGACAGGTGCGTGGGAAAGAGGGACGAGTATTTATATATTTATATATATCATATTTACTCATTATGGAGGTTTGTATTTATTTATTAATGCTGAATTTCCATTTTCCATGTAAATGTATTTTTGAGAGCATTGAAACAACAAAAATTGTTTTACAAGTCAGAAAGTGTGTAGAGTTTGTTTGCAACTTTAGGAAGCACATTTTAAAACCAAAGTGACAAAGTGCTTCACAGTAACATACAAAGATGGTGAAAAGTATCTGTAGAAATATTCAAATTGAAGACAAGCAAAAACGGCTAAAGAATAAGAACAAATGAAGGCAAGGAAGCTTTGAAAACATGTCTTTGAGAATAAACAGAGATTTAGCAAAAGCCATGCAGAGTTGAGGTAATGTGAGAACGCTGTGGAGTTTTGTAAACACGCAGCAGAAAGTCCTGCCAGAACCTTTTGGCTGAAACAAGAACTAAATGCAGTACAGTAGTCAAGGCATGATGCGAATGATGAATGGATGATTTGTTCGAGCTGGTAGAAGGATAAGCTGAGGCATATTGGTTTCTGAATTCAAAATGACAGGACAATAGAACCGACCTTAAATGTTTCTGTAGGTTCAACTGGGAATCCAAAAATGACCCCAAGTTTGAGTATAAGCAAGTCAAATTTCTAATTCTGAAGAAAAATATTTAATTATATTATACCTACAACCACTTTCTCCACCAGCCCTGTCTTGATCCCATACAACAAAACTGCATTGTTTGTTTCCAGGGAAATGTATTTTGATGTGGATTGTTTGCTTTTGACATATCACAAATACGTTTAAAATGAGTCCCCACAAGTACTTTTGTTGCCTAAACCTAAGAAAGTAGTTTTTTAGCTTTTTTCCATTTCTAACATTAACCTCGTGTTTCAAACTGTTTAAAAGTACGGCTGTAATCCAGGAGAAGATATGTGCATTCTAATACCCATATAACCATACTATTTAGACTGCCAGGAAAAGATTTAGTATGTCCCAATACATAGTTTGTCAAATGCAGTATGCCAAAAATACCAGGATGTCCTACTGCATCTGGTCGCATTTTGCAGTAGTTTAGCCAGCATGCTGTTCTCGCAGTAGATATGAGCAAGAGGGTTCAAATTTCAACGTGCAATGTTATGACAAAGTAGTATTTCCCAAATGAATGCATACTGCATGTAACAGTACATACTTTGTAAGGGCAGCTGCAGTATGTACTAAATAAATAAATAAAAAGTATGCAAATTGCAACGCAGTGAACATTTCCCTCTAAAGGTAATTGAGAGAGCAGTTTAGTTTTATGGGAATGACATTTTGAAGGAGACAGGGTTGTCTTCCCCGAAAAACAAATGGAAGTTGCTGATGATGTGTTGTCTAATCTTTCAACAGGACCTGACTGCTACTAAATTTCAAGTGTCTGCAGACAAGACGTCTGTCCTCTTGGCGTATAACATTCGACCGGTAAGTTTTCTCCGAATGCCAAGTTGACTCAGAGTTATTCCAGAATAAGCTCCGTTAAGCTCTTTACCTTCAGAAGACATCCGGAGTCGTACATTGTCCTTCTAATATTAAAGACTGTTACCGCTCACACGGCTCAACGGGTCTGGTAGACCACCGGTTGCTGCAAAACCACGCTGAAATGCATCCTAATCAGAGCCCCGAAGAAACAACAGAGATAAGGAGTGAGAACATGAAGGAGGTTGAGGTGTGTGTGTGCGCGTGTGCGTGTGCGTGCATGCTGATTCTGCTACTGCAGCACTCATAAGCTCCATAACACCACCCGCCACATGACTGGGATAACATATGGGGAGTTGAATATTTAAACTGGCTGATGGCGGAAGGTGCAGGGGCCTGAGGAAAGCTTAGTGAGTGATCCGTGTGATAGTGGGGGGAACGGGGGAAGGGGAGATCAAGGAGGTGGAGGGGTAAAGTTGGAGCTGCAGTAATGAAATCGCCCTGCTAGTTCGGTGGGGAATATTAATGAGAAGCTGACGAGAATCACAATCGCAGGTGGTTTCGGACAGGCGTCGGGGTAGACACAAAACAGATCTTTTTGCTCCCTTTACTTTAACACCACATAGCTCAGTTCCTCCAGCCGCCTCGCTCTGCAAATACCCGCATCATTAATAAATAGTCGGGTTTTTCCTCAAAGGGCATGCAAGTTGTGTTATTTGCAAGTAATCAGCAACGGAGGGGAAACAGAATTAGGATAAAATGAAATCCCTCAGCACATTTTCCCCCACATTTTTATTAAAAAGCTGAAAGCAGGTTTTGCTGCTCTCTCGCACTCATTTGTTCAGTCACTTCTTTTCTGGGGGATCCTGTTGCTGTGTTGCAGTATTCGTCTCTAACACGGTGCATCCATTCTAACTGCATTATTCAGTGATTAACATACGTTCAATCACTTTTCAGATATCTCTATAGAGAAAGGGCTCAGATCTGTGTCCAATCTGTGGGTTGCTTGAGATTAATATCATTAGCATACTTTCTCTGATGTCAGCAGGAATTGTCTACTCATCTGTATGCTCAGTGAGTATTCACCCGGGAAGAAATCAGAGGCAGTGGGCACGCCACCTGGAATCATTTGTATATATAGAAATGTGTATGTTTGCGTGAGCATGGTTGGCATTTTGTGTGCATGGGGGCTATTCCTCCATTCTCCTCGTCTTTCCAGCTCCATCCCTCTCTCTTCGCTCCTTCTTCCTCACTCTCTGCCACTCTCTGGAGGGGATTTGTGCTGACTGAAGCAGTTTGCGCCAGGCACCAGCTTTGCTGTTCAAAAAGAGGAGCGGCACGCTGCCGAGAGTGGCAGAGAACGAGAGACAAAAACAGAGAGCGGTGGAGGAAGCCACTTGTGAAGGAGGGAGTTGGGCAGAAAAATAGGATATGCACCATTTGCCCTCAAATACACTGCCCAGTTGAAATCAATCAGAAGGGTTATCTAAGAGATGCTCAAAGGAGAAAGCTGCAGTGGAGAGAAATGGATGAGCAGGCTGTGGGTAAAGTTAAAAGGCTTCTCTGGATTTTGTGTTAGCTGTGGAGGCTTTAGGGAGGGTTTTGTGCCTAGTGGGGGAAAATAAATGGATTTTGATAAGAGGGTGTACATAGAAGTGGGGATTTAGCCACATAGGAACACGAGAGAGCAGATTTACTGTATACAGGAAAATGTCTTTCTTTAAAGCCTGTTTGAATTGAATGGGTTCAAAAACAAGAAAGAGAAGTCCCACATGTTTTTATAAAAAGAGTGATGGCGAGATACCATCCTGCCAAGACAGTGCAGTTTAGGGACAAATAAGATGCCAACGGAGTCGTGTCTACACTCTGCAGCAAACGCTGATGGGTGCTGGTATCAAAGGCAGCGCATAGTGGGGCTGCAAAAAAACGCTTGTGAGGCAGGAACAACGTTGAGAGGGAAGGATGCTATTATCTCTGTATTGTGTATCATGCAGTGTACAATATATATTACAGCTGTGTAATATATATATATATATATATATATATATTACACACGTTATTAACAAGTTAATAACGTGTGTTAACACAGATTAAAATATTATGAATATTTAATCTGTGTTTTATTCCCCCACCCCCATTTTGTAGATGTGGATTGGGTAGGAGGCGGGTAGTAAAGTGTGTGTGTGTGTGTGTGTGTGTGTGTGTGTGTGTGTGTGGGGGGGGCAGAGCAATCTGTAGGATTTATGATATGTGACTGGAAGCCACATTAGAATTCACTCTTTCTTTCCAAGACAGATGCTCTCACTGTCTCTGTCTGTTTATCACACTGAAACACACAAACACACAATAAAGTACAGCCTCTGCCACCAGCCCCATGATGTAAATCATGAGCAGAATCTCTGGGTTAATATACAAATCATGAATAGCTTATTGAACGTGGTGCACTTGGCTAAGCCCCCCCTGTGGTCTCGTAGAGTTATACTCCCTGTGACGACCAAGATCGGTCCTGCATCCTTTCCTTCCTTCCTGTCCTTGTTTCTTTCTCTCCATCTCCCTCCCTCCCTTTTTCCTGTAGTGTTGGACCAATTCATCCCTTCCTCTTCATGTCCTCGCAGTTATTTCCTGTTGTAATTGTAACAGCTGTACACCCTGTTCCACCCTCATGCTCAGACTTTACCCCGCAATCAGATTTCAATTTCATTTAGGTAGCCTTACAATTTATTTCTCTTTCTTTATCGCTGCCTTTTTCCATCCATGCATTTTCTAGCAACAGACAAACAACGCGGAGGAAAAAAAAAATCCAATTTCACCGCTAACTGTGCTGTATAGAGGATGTGACATTTAATTTCTTTGGGGACTGGTTATTCGGAAGGGTCAGGCTTTCGGAGGCCAGTGGGTGAATAGCTTGTTTCCAACCCTTTGCATGAGAGGAAAAGAAGAATAATACAAATCAATACATTGCCGAGAATTCATCAGGTAACGCTGTGGTCAATTGCGGTTAACACACACACACACACGTACACATGTACACTTTCATTGATTCTGGTCCCTTGGTCTTCTTCAGCGTGTTAATTGAATTATTCATCGAGCTGCTGATGCCTGTGTTAGGGTTGCCAGCCACAATAGATCTCAGTGGAAAAGATATTAGCTGTAACGATACTATTTGATAAGATTGTCTAACTTAGTTTCTGTCTTAACCCCACCTACATAAATAATTCCTACATATTATTTCCACGGTTCTTTCTTTGTGAACATGAGTTCGTGAGTATTAAGTCTGTGGCTGCTCCAAAGACAATAAATGGGAGATTTTTTTGGACCCACAGAATGTTTCTTTTTTCTGTTTTTTACCAAAAGAGCTTTGTTCTATTATAGTGTTTTCAGTTCTGAAACAGAAAATGTGCCCATATACTTGGAACATTCACCGGAATGCTCTTATGCTGCCTTCAAATGGGGTCATGTTTACCGTGTTCACGACAACGTCCCCCCTCTTGTGGTATTCACGACCTCGTAAGTGGAAGTTTTCTGAAAACTCTCAAGTTCTCGGCTGATGGAATCAGAAATGGCATAATATTTGTATACGACTGAAATATTGTAATTTCAGTCGTATAGAGTTTTTTTCATCATGCCTTTGCATCTCCTGCACTATCTTTCACACTTGCTATCTTGCTTAATTGTTAGCCTCGGTAATATTGCCACACATACAGATACTTTGCTTCTACTGCTTATTTTAGGTGAAAGAATAACATTAAATTGTTATTACACTACTATTAATAAAATAATTTAGGGTTTCTAAATTTTGTAGCATAATGTTGCTGCCCTTTTAAAAAGCAATAAGCCACTTGATGCAGTGCTTTACAGTGAAAAGAATTAAAGGATACAAACCTATCTTCCTGATGCCTATTGTTTAATTGTAAGGTGAGCTTCGGCAGGGCCCTCCCTAACCTTTGTTTCATTTGTATTTAACTTTCTTTATACATGTGTATGAGCATGTGTGAGCAGTAAAATACATGTGTGTTGTCATCTAAGTGCGGCACACCTGTGTGCATGATATCCTCTACCTCTTTCAGGTGTTCTCTCAGTCCTTCACAGCCTCCTATGCTATCTACAATGTGGCTAATGGGTAGGTGGAATCATGAATGCTAATGCATGGGCTGCACTGGGCATGAGCGTCACCAATGCAAGCAGACCTGCGGATTAAAAAAGTTCCCCAAATGAGTGTGTCTCATCGAATCAGAGCCTCATGTTTCTGTCAGACATGCATTCATTCTTCAGTGGTCTTTCCAGGTTCCATATCCTAACTTAAGGTTTGTACTGTACTTCAGATTTCACTGCCTGATATTCATATTCAGCATTGTATTAGTGGAAAAACTCTGTGGTAGCTGTGGATGATCCCTGGAGCTTCTGAGGATTGGTTATGATAAAGGAATTGAGGAGGACCTGCAGTATTAATCATTGCTTGAGTATGCCTTTGAGGAAAATGTTTGCCTGACCTTAGGAAGAAAATAAGTGCAGCTAGGAATATGTAACAAGAAATGTTGCACTCTTGCATGTACCAACTCCATTCTCTGTTTTGTTTTTCCCTGTCTGCATCTTGCTCCTTTGTCCTCACAGTGCAGTGTCTCTCTCAAGCAAAGCTCAAGGACAGGGCATAGATGGACCTCAGAGGGCTCTAAACAGGACACTCATCCCTAACAGAGGGCTTACGTCCCTGTATTTGTGTGTGTTCCAGGGAGCTGCTGGAGCTTAATCCTCCGGAGAGGGAGAAGGCAGTGCTACAATACGCTTCCTGGGGGCCTCAGGGGAGCCAGCTGGTAAGCCAGGGGCCCTCTCATTTATCTGATCAATGTGCTGTCTGCGTCGTCTAAATCAGCTACACCTGCCAATATGATAAGGAGATTTTTTCAACCTCAACAATCTATAAAAACAAAGTCCTTTGACATCATTTTCATAATGATAACATCAATGGTGAGATGAACTCCATCTCAGGGGTTATTGCTCAGACTGTGTTGCTATAATGGAGTTGTTTTACACTCAAAATATCATTCATCTACCTTCCCTGTAATGCAATTGGCTTTTTGCTGCTATGTCTGCAGCATATTAACTGGCAAGTAAAGATGATATTGGCTCTCACTTGTGCTGGCCGATGATTCATTCACTCTTGGACGGCGTTCGACCGGCGCTCGATTCAGGCAGCCAGCGATGAAGCCTTCAACCGTTCTGTCTTTGATATTGGATTTGCCCTGTCTGTCTGTGCCGCTCATGCCAGGCCTATGTGTTTGATGGAGATATCTACTACAAGCCGAGTGTGACCAGCAAAGCCCTGCGTCTCACAACCACTGACCTGGAGCAGAATGTGGTGAACGGGCTCTCTGACTGGACTTATGAAGGTAGGATGTATTCCTGCACTTAAACTACAGAGTGAAAAATCTGCAAAACCAAGCTGACAACAATGATTGTGAACAGCAGGTGTATGCTTTGAGTCTGATATAACAACTTGCACTGTATTTTAAAACAGAGGAAGTGCTCTTGACATATGTTGCCCACTGGTGGTCTATGGACGGGGCCCGGCTGGCGTACCTCACCATCAACAACTCTGCCACACCTGTGATGGAAATACCTCACTTCTTAGGTGGTCTCTACCCCTCCAATGTGCTCTTCCCCTACCCCAAGGTAAAAGTTGACAAAGACAAAAGCTTATAGTCACACTGGCAGCTCTGTGAGGCTGAACTTAACATTCTGCTGTTTAGCAGGTGTAATCAGGTGGCAACCACCGGTTCTGAAAAGTGACACCAATGGTGAAGTGCCTTTAACGTGCATTCTTTGAAATGACAAGTAGGGGGCGACTCCTCTGGTGACCCTAAAATGTCCCTACTTCTAACTTGATTTATTACCTCAGTTAACATGAACTATTTATGGTCTCAATCTCTTGTTTCAAGTTTTCTTCAACACAGTATGATGTTCATTTAGCAAGTTATGGTCCCATTTATTATATCAGTCACTTCTGGTTACAAAAAAACAAGATAGTGACGGCCAAAAACTAAGATGGCAACAGCCAAAATGACAAATTCAAGGCTTCAAAATCATATCTACAAACCAATGGGCAACGTTGCAGTGACTACATCCATTTATTATATACAGTCTATGGGTGTAATATTTGCCATGTTCACTATATGATATCTGCACCATATTTTAATGGAAATTCATAAAAAGATTGTCGAGACATTACAGTCTGAACCAAAGTGGAAGAGAATGGCCACGTTTTTTCAGCGTGGCTAAAAAAATTTGCCTGTGCGTACACTTTTTATTGAGTTTATTTTATCTTTTTTATGTGTTTTTTTTTTTTTTTTTTTTTTGTTGTGCTCACAGGCTGGCTCAAGTATCCCATCAGTCAGTCTGTTTGTGGTGAATCTGTATGGTCCAGCTCACACTCTGGAGATGATGCCTCCTGACTCCCTCAGGGCCAGGTACTACATCTATCTGAATGTAAGAACTAGAGATGCACCGCTACTGACTCAAATTGCTGGATAGGGTATCAGCGACAATACGCCGATCTGGTATCAGATACAATTATTTTAATAAATATTATATCAAAAATATTTATTTTGGTTTTGCTGATATTTTGTTTAAAAAATAATGATCCGAGTCACTTCCACACAGTGAGGTATACAGCTTCTTACCTAAACACTGGTATTGGATCAGTACCTTGTATCGGCTGATACCCAAAAGCCCAGTTATTGGGGCTGAAATAGTCGGAATGGTGCATAGTAAAAAAAGAATAAACCTTAAAGTCTTTGGACATCACCTATCAGATATTATTACTCGTGTGTCAAAATTCCTCTCCACTGTTTTTCCGTGGTCATTCCTTTGCACCACTTTCCAATCACTTTCCCCGTGTTTCATTTTCTGCATCGCCTCTTCAGAGACAACTACATCTCCATGGTGACTTGGATCAGCAGCACTCGACTCACGGTGCGTTGGCTGAATCGTGCCCAGAACCAATCGGTGCTCTGTGTGTGCGAGGCCACCACGGGGGCTTGCTCAGAGGTGAGCGGTCATCAGTCATTCAGCATTCGTAATCCACAAACGGCCTCCGCTGCAATATATATACGGCTTTAATAGAATTGTTCCTTCTTTTACACTGTGTTGGGAGTTGGGATTGATTTCCTTAAGCTCTCAAACATCTACTGACTGGATTAATATTTAAGGTCATTTGCTGCATGAGAGGAATCCTCAGTGATGTAGCGCAGTATTATATTGCTTGTTCCCTTTCGGTAAATCCTCACGTATTCCATGTTACCCATTGCCAATAGTGTATTATTTTTATATTTAATAATTAATATATATATAATAAGCTTTATTTACACAATGGCACTTTGCTTTAGCTTTGTAAATAGTGTGATTAATACATTTCTCTATATTGGGTGATTCTAAAACAAAAGAAGCACAAAATGGCCATGGACATAATGCAAAACAAACGACAGGTATGTATTGCTCATGTTTCATGTTTTATTACACCTGTTTGCCACTGCTGTCTGTCTTCTTGACTCAATACCTTTCCTCAACAGGATGTGCCGTTGTTTTCAGCAGACGGCTCTGTGTTTTATACAATCTTGCCAGCAAAACAGGGCGCTCGTGGAGAGTTTCATCATATTGCTGGTCTTTCAGCCCAGGTCAGTTTTTGTTTCTGACAAAATTGGTCGTTAACATTTCAACAGGAGTCACATAAAACACTGTGATTACAGATATCAGCAGCACAGACCTCTAAAGTCTGGTTTGCTTAAAATCCCCTTCTCTCTTATTAATTAGAGCAATTTGTTTGTATTTGTTTTTGTCCCTAATTACTAAAACACCACCTTTATCTAAGGAGTAATTTCACTTATTATGGCCGTTTTGCCCTTTACATCATTGAAGGAAGTTCAGTCAATTTCAATTTGGCAATTAATGCATGCCCAGAAATTGCAATTAAAAAGGTTTTATGATGCTGTTTTTTTTTTTTGTTGTTGCCATTTTGCCATTAGTGGACAGATTAAGAGTGTAGTAGCATATGTTACGTAGCTGTTGGGTCTCTTGGCACAGAACGGGTGAGGAGACACATCACTACTCGAAACACACACAGAGGTGAGCTAGAGGGAGGAACAGGTCAGGTGGTGGAACTGGTGGAAAGGGGTAACCAGAGGACAGGTAAGCAAGGCTGGGCCTGAAATTACAAGGCAGTTAGTGACAAGGACAACCAGGCAGAATATTGAACAAGTAATACTGAGAGATCTGAGAGGTGTCGGGACACCTTTGGGCTCATGCAAATCATTAGTGGCTTTGGCTCAAATCACAAGTTTTCTTTTTTTGCGTCTCGCTCACTTCAGTCATTAAAACATACTGTTCCTGAACAGTCATAGCCGTCAGTGCCTTCATTTGGTTTAACTTTATGAACTTTATCTTTGCTTCCCCCCCCCCCATCCTCTGACACACAATTGCTGTATCGCACCTATTTTTATTCTGTGTATCAGCTGGCTTCCACATTGCTCTTCGTCTCTGTTTCTGTGTAACGCAGCCTGTCATCCCCTCTGTCCCGCCTCGCTTCTTGACATCAGGGAGCTGGGACGTCACCTTGCTCTGTGCCCTCGACGAGACTGCTGGAAAAATGTATGTGAGAGTCACAGGTTTGGAGTGGAGAAGGGTTTAATCACCTTTCAGCGCTTTAAAAGCTTGCAGCTCCTTACTATGAATTGGGGTTAGAGTGGGGTTAGAGTAGAATAGTGGCAATCATTAAAATGATCATCTCTCGCTGTAAGCTGAGAGCAATTTCTAGATGTGTCAGCCACTGGGTGAATGGTACACATACGATTTTTTTTATTCAAAAATAACTCAAAGTGCAATTTTTACATGTAGCATTGATCTCTGTGAAAAAGCGCCAAAAGGAACTTCTTTAACCTTGACTTTGCTTGTGGCAATGCTTTGCCACTGAAGAGGGTAAAGAATTACTTACATTTGAACAGAGCAGGTTATCACTTACATCTGTTTTTATCCTGCTAGGGGCAGAAAGCCCTCATGAACTGACTGACTGAGGCATGAGCATCAAAGACAATCCAACAAAGTCAATTGAGGATCTAGTCCGTTGTTTGCAGTCCCGAAGCCCACTGGTTGATACTAAATAACTAAATAAGTGTTTCTGTCTCACCGTACTGTACTTACATAGTGGCAGATAGTTGACATATGATGCTTTGATGCACATCCACTTCACATTTGATTTATTTGATTCACCGTCCCTAATGGTGCTTTACAAAGTAAGTGTGATTTAACATGCTGAAGTATGTAAATCTGTGTATTCTCGTCATGAATAATTGATATCCAGAATAATTATGATGAAGTTAAGATGCCCAAAGGTGATCAGTGTTGATATAACTTGCTGTGTCTGTGGTTTGTGTTTCTCATCATCAGCTATTTCCTGAGCGCAGAGGAATCCAGACAAAGTAGACACCTTTACAGGTAGACATGCTTCCCTCTGAAACGGCGGCACAGTACACATTCTGTTCAAAGCTATTTAAACAGACACATTATTGACATTATAATGCATACGATATAAGACATAAGATATATGTGTTGTTAGTTGAAAAGTAGCTATGCTAGCATGTCTTGTTATTAACGTAGAACTAGAGTCTACAGCACAGTGGTGCTTTGAGATGAATGCTAACGTCAGCCGGCTAACATGCTCACAATGACTATGCTAACATCCTGATGTAGCCGGTATGATATTTACCATGTTCACTGTTTTGCATGTTAGCGTTTGATAATTAGAACCAAACACAACGTATTGCTGATGCTGATGGGAATGTCATCGGTTTAGCAGGTATTTGGTTATAAATAAAAGTATTGCACACATAACACAATATGACCTAATGGTGGCGCTAGATGAAATTAATAGGAAGTTAATTTAATGGCAATCCATCCAATAGTTGTTGGGGCATTGTTAAGATTCATCCTCTGGGCACCATGAATGTCTGTACACATTGTATGCCAATCCATCTTGTAGAGATTGAGATTTTTCAGTGGATAAGTGAAAGTTTTGACCTTATGGTGATGCTAGATGAAGTCAGAGGATGACAAAAATCACATGGGTTCATCCTCTGGTCATTATGAATATCCTTAAATAAAATTGATTACTAAAATTCATCCCATGGATTTTAGTTTGGACCAAAGTAGGTGGCCAACATTGCCATCCCTGAAACAACGCTTGCATGGTTGAACAAGCATTCAGAAGAGTAACTGCACATTAGTGTGTTGACGTGTGAATCGTTATTCTTGTGAGCTGTACATGCTCAAGGCCAAGAGCTGTATTTACACATTCATATAAGAAAGAACTCCTCTGAGTGGACTAGGACCCTCTGTGTTGACACACTTGTCTGTTCCCTCATCAGCCTCTCCTCTTTTTATTAGCCTACATAGCTTTGGGCTTCAGGAGATGGCACAACATTATGTAGGAGGGACTGTGGCTTGTTTGAATTTGGCATGTGATTAATCTTGTGTGGAATCTTTATGCAGCAGAGTGGAGAGGGTCATTGAGAGACTCGACACAGCAATCTGTATCACCGCTTTTATGTCTTATCGAACACGCATTTGTTTCTTAAAAGTCAACTGCTTAGTTTGTCTCAAGACACTGACACTTTTTCCTTAATACCTTAGCAATTCATTGACCCTCTCCTGGCACTAATAAAACCACTTTAGACTCTCCTATTCTTCTATTGTGCGGTCAATAACCTCTTTTCTCTTGTGTCCAAGTGTGGACCTGGATGGAGTGTTTCAGCGCCGGTGCATCTCCTGCAACCTCATAGATGGATGTCGCTTCTTTAAAGCTGAATTCAGCCCCAATCAAACCCACTTCATCCTCTATTGTCTAGGTAAATGAGAAACACAAAAGCAAGGAGTATGCGTTCAAGCTTCACGCTGCTCAGACAGCTGGTTTTAGAATGTTTTCTTTTGAAAAATCCCCCAGGCCCAGGAATACCTAAAGTGACGGTTCACAGTACAAAGGACCCCTCCAGTGAGTGTTACATCTGCTTGAATGACTTATTGTATAATGATGTGCACACACAGGCTTGTCTGCAGTTTCTTGGTACAGCCTGCAGAGGAAGCTATATTCAAACACCAAGCACAACACACCAGAAAGTAGATTCATTAATCTCAGGCTTGTGAACACTGCCCTCTGTCTGTAGCTCTCAGTTTGAGCTGTTTGCATAGAGATCATGAGGATTTGGGAAACTGATGGCTTAGTGTGTCTGTTGTGATATTTAATATTAATAATCTAACACACTGGTTTTTAATCTCCTGTAGGATACGTCGTCTTGGAGGATAACAGCCCTCTATCTGATGCTCTGGAGGACAAGAGGCTTCCTGAGACTCTGTTCAGGACTCTCCCAGCAGACAACCATGGTAGAAAAAAAAAAACATTGGCTCTATTTTACATGGTTTGATATTTAGGATATTGGCCACACAAAATACAAGCATTCACAGATCACCTTGAGTGTCCTTCTCAAGCAGTCAGACTATATTAAGCACTGGCTGCAAAGTGTCTCAACCTGGAAGGGACGAATATACCTCTGCTCAAGGGCCAGTGCCAGTTATTCTTTTACTATGATTGTGCATGCTTGTTCATGTTTTGTTCAGATTAAGGATTAACTATTTTTGTAATGATTATTTTTATGTGCTTCTGAGGTTCAGATGCCAGACAGAGCCTAAACATGTAGCAGCAATAACATGTCTGTGGACAGGTGACTTTATTTGACTCGTTTGATTTCCTTAGATCTACACCTGAAGCTATCTCTACCTCAGGGTTACGAGACAAACCTGCACCCTCTCCTCGTCATTGTGTAAGAATCGCTGAACAAGCAGCAGCTGAGAGTTATTTAGCCACCTGTTTTGCAACCTATGATCCCTCATCTTTACTTCACTCTTTCACCCCCAGCATCTGTCCCCGCACTTGCTGATCCTGTTTGTCTTGTCGCTCAGGGATGGCGTGCCTGGCAGTCAGTCGGTGACAGAGGAATTTGCCCTGGACTGGCCTCAGGTCCTCTCCGGCACTCACAATGTGGCCTTGGCCTGGGTGGACGGGAGGAGTGGGGTCGGCCGTGGACAGAAGACCACCAGCGTGGATCCGCGCAAGCTTGGCTCAGTTAGAGTCAAAGATTATCTGGGAGTTGTAGAGTAAGTTTAGTTATGCAAACAAAAGCTATATAATTGACATGTGAGAATACTGCCTGTAAACTGGTTAACTAATAGGATGTAATGATATGTGTATATATATATCCACAGGCTGTTGATGCAACTGCCTTACATTGACGATCGTCGGATGATCCTCTATGGCAAGGTTACAGCATTTTTTTAGATTTATAAACTCAATTCTCCTGTTGAAGCCATTAAAGCTATTGCATGCTTTATTTGTTTTACCCCTTTTCGGTTTCTCCTTGCAGGCATTTGGCGGATATTTAACTCTCAAGATGCTAGCTGCAACAGATAAGCTCTTTCAATGCACGGCCGCTGTGGCACCAATAACTGACTTCAGACTTTATAGTGAGTTGAGCTCATGTCATTAACTATTCAAACACTAAGTCCATGGGAATTGTGATTAAACCGAGACACAACTCATGTATTTGAGTTATTCCACTTATTTCAGGTGCTGCATTCTCAGAGAGGTATCTAGGCCTTCCAGCTAAGGAGGAGCATGCTTACTCGGTGAGGCTGTGGATATATTCTCAGTTGCAGTTTGTTTTTGCCCCAAAACAAATGCAATCTTAAAAGTTTCAACAAAAGCTGAACATTTAACATGTAAATGTGTATGAAGGTGGGATTTATCTGGCTGTTGTGTTAGACTGGATTAGTTTCAGCTAGTTGTACCTAATGAAACACTTTTTGTTTGCAGACTGCCTCTTTGCTGGAGGAGGTTAACAAGCTAAAAGATGAGAATTTCCTTATTCTTCATGGAACTGCAGATGGTGAGATTTTGTTTAATTTTATGTTTTTAATTCTATTTTCTCACCTCTAATTTCAATATGTGTGTGTATATTTGGCCAAAGCGAGAGTACACTTCCAGCACAGCGCGGAGCTCCTGAGCCGACTGGTGAAGGTGGAAGCCAATTACTCACTGCAGCTGTATCCAGATGAGGGCCATGTTCTGAGGGAGGCGCACAGCATCCAGCACTTCCAGCGGACGGTGGTGAACTACCTCCAATCCTGCTTGAAGCACGGCATCCTCCTAGATCCCGTAGAGGATGACGAGGAGGAAGATGACTGAGCCCAGAGCCCCTTCCCTCCTTCTGGAAGGACTATCTTTGGACTGAATGCAATTTTATGCATTACCTTGGGTCGGATTACCAGGCACAAGAGCAGAGGAGTGGGGACCAAACACATTAGATCACCTCGTACAACTTCTGGAAAAATTGATGTACTGTATATCTTGTTGCACATAGTTATTTTTGCTGTTATACTGTATGTTTGAGGCAGTTTGTTTACAAAATTCACTTTAGATGGTGTGGACTAGAAAAATACTGATTCTGCCAAAGGTTTACAAAGATTTTAAAACATGCATGTCATAATGGCTGCATGATGTGGATTAGTTTACATTGCATTTTCTGTGTTTTGCAGATCCCAATTTCACCCATCAGGGTTAAAAGTATATAATCTGCCAACAGCCGGGAACACATTGGAAAAAAATCCTTATTTCTGGATTACGGGATCATATTCCGATTCCTACAGATTCCATTCCTACAAAATAAAAAATGTACAATAGACACAAAACATTGTAATCCTAAACTCTAAGATAACAGGAAATCTGGCCCTACTGGTCACTGTCCTGGTCAGACTCTCCACAAGCTCTAAGATAACATTGTAAAATCTTATTTTAGGTCTTTTGCACAATTTATTCCCTGCTTAAATAAAGTTAAATGACCCATTTGGATAATTGTTAATGTGCCAAATACATTTTGTGGACTTTTTGCATCACTTGCATTTTGTGATGAAGAATGAGTATGCAACTGTAGCTATTTACACCACAAGCTCTGGTTCAAGGACGATGCAAGAACGTCTATGTGGGACTGTCTTTTTACTGTATTTGGAAGTAGGGTATGTTTCTGTTTTGGTACATCTTAGCATTTTAAACATTTCTCGTGTATTGCAGAATAAAATTATTTCTTTGAACAGTTTGTTGAGCCATTACCTTACAGTCCACAAAGGAAGTTGACCGGAGTCTTGACCATTAAACTATCAACTGAACCAGACTGGTAAACTGCATGCAGTAGGTTTGAAAACGAATGCCCTTGAATCTACACAACCGGCTACTCCTATTTTCCAACACGCATTGACAATAAAGTTTGAACTTCTTGTTTTACAGCAAAAATCTAGTTTGTTTCCTTCTCTAAACATAACTGTCTAACATAGCCATTTGGATAGATAATTATGAAAGAAATATCATGTGCTAACACTTGGTAATAATTACTGACTTTGATCTCTGCAAAGTGGCATTCAAAGCAAATATTATCAGCTATTACTGCTTTAAATGCCTACATAGATCATGGCCACTGATATTGGGTAAGAATGCCGAAAATATCACACTACATAATATATAAATAACATATCGATGTGGCCTATGATAACTGGCAAAAACACCATACATAGGCATATAGAATATAATATAACATAACATTTCTCCTATAATTAAATTCAGGCAACCACATATCTTCAGCTTAAAGTTCCTCATTGATCTTGATACCATATTTCCAGGGGTAAAGCGCAGAGTCCATTGTATTGGATGCCCTCTGGTTGCACCTGTACATACGTAGCACTGGTACTACTCAAACTTGATGAATGAAAGTGAGTCTGGAGGAGAATCCTTGTCACATTATCCAGGTTAAGGGCCGTTGCAACGGGTGCTTCATTAACTGTATTCAGTATCGCGCTATTTTTTCCTCAACTGGATAGATAAGTGGAGAGACTAAAAAATACCTGGTTCTCGAACAGACCCTGATCTGCAGCTATCGTCACAGAACGGAGGGAAGATACGTTATCCAATCAGCGTAAACCCAACTGCCCCCTAGCCAATCAAATCCCTTTACGCTGTTGTGCCTGATCCAGCCCATCGTCCAATCAACGTCGCTGCTACTACGGGCCTGAATCTCCCTACCACCTTCTGCTTTCTGGAGGGGCACCTTCAACCGGCTCCGTGGTGCACTGGCAGGGGCTTCCTTAGTTTTAAAGGACAATTGGAAATAACAGACTAACACAGACACAATGTCTTTTCTGACTGTCAGTAGGTTAGCACCTAAACTGCTCAATTCAAAGGTAAGAGGACTGGAAACGGCCGTAATGCCACTTTAGAAGTCAAAGTTGTTGATGCTATCTACAGAAGCTAACCGTAGTTTAGCGGGCTAGCGAGGTAATGACAAGCTAGCTATCATTAGCTAGCTTAGCCAACCACATTGTGAAATGCTGTTTACAAAGACCTTGGCTAATAATTGTGAAAACAGTGTAACGGCTTTTAGGAGTATCCTCAATTCATTGGTGTTTTTGTATCTGGATGCTGTAATGATAACGTTTACGTTGTACCGCTTGTGAACTCTTGTTGGCTAACGTGCTGCTTGTGCTGGCCTGGTATCGTCACCGCCTATCTGGACATGTTTCTTTAACCAGACGTTAGTGATTTACACCGTGTTAAATGGGCACGACTAAGCACGTACCGTTTATTTTGTTATAAGTAAATAGCGGTTATTATTGATCGGCTACAGACACGGATTAAACTTCGTCTAACACAACCCCCGGTCGACCTTCAGGTTAATATTTCAGCCAATTATCTAACGTCACATTATTTGATGATGTAGAAGTTCCACAGCACTGTGGGAACAACGTTTTATTCTGGATTCAGACATCCAACGTCAGTTTTTAAGTGTATAATCTCAGTGTATATTTTATCGTGTGACTAAAATATTGCTTTAATAACTAACGTGGTATGTCATGATGTTACCACAAGGCTTTGCATGCTCAGGCCAGCCCTCTGAAACACTTCCAATCATTGATTAAAGGTAGTTGCCCCCACGTGCTGACTGTAACCTTCCAGTGACTGAAATCTAGTGTTTTACTCCACTGACCTCTCTTAGATTGCTTAGAATCGCCTAGATTGCTGACACTGGTCGAATGACACTACAGCCCCCCCAAAGCAAGTATTCAGCGATAAAATGGTGTCCTTCCTTGTACTGGGGGGTTAATCCTGTCACTGTTACCAGTCTTGTAATTAGCAATATGTAGATATAACTGTGATAAAACACTCACCCTTTCTCTCTTATCAGCTGTAATCTTTGCTCAGAAGTTTTATTAGTGATCTTTTGTGTAGCGGCATTTTATTCTTGGCCATAAAATGTTTGGTTTCTGAACTATTTATGATAAAAAGTCATGTGATTCATGCTCTGAGCAGCATGAATGGTGGTGTCAATGTGGTTTCTTGCCTCAGGTGATTCCAGTTTTGTGTTTTTGCTTACTATCAACAAAGTATCTTCAACCAGGTTTTATGTTCAGTTTTGTTTACCAAAGAGAACTTAAAGTCACAACCTCTGGGTTGACTCCTATACCCTTCTGAGCAGTGTAGTTGCTCTAACCTTTCTCCCAGACAGGACGGTGGACAGGACGGTGGGAGTGACTGAGTGAAACTGCTGCTCTAAATTTAAGGCCCTGAGCTGTTACATAATCTCTCTCTCTCTCAGCTTTGTAGTGTGTGACTCAAGAGCCTACTTTTTGTTGGTCCTTTACTAGTTGTGGTTACAAGGAGGGGATCCCATTGTGAGCAGAGCCAGCTGTGCCCAGTCCCAGAGGCTCAGGCTCCTCCCCCTTTTCCCCATTGATAATTCTGACATGCTGACAGAGGAGTCTTGTTTCAGTGGTGAGCAGCAGCAAGCTCAACTTCTCACCACTGAGCTTTCAATGAGATTACCAGCCTCCAAACACTTTCAGAAACAGGGCCAGTAGTTTTTTTTTTTTGTTTTTTTTAAATCCCTTGTACATCCCAGAGTCTTGTTCCAGCAACAGTCCAAGGCTTAAGAATTGAGAAAATGTTTGATCTCTGTGTAATGAGTCATTTTTTTTTCTGTCACATAGCTCGTGTTGGCAAATGTACGCCGACCCATCCTTAATGCTCAGCTAGATGGGAAAACACTGTGTGTTTCCGGACTTATCTTACTCATGGAAAAATTTGCTCATAAATTGTCTTTATTGACCTTGCTTGTTTCTCTTTTTTTTTTTTGTTAGTCACAGTGCAGAATGTTAGTATGTGTGGTAGTCTATTGAAATGCCCCGATTGTGTGGCATTTGGGTTTTATTTAATGACACACATTGTGATGTTTGATAGAAGTAGAGCAATAGTTGTGTGATCAGGGTCATCCCCTATGCATCATGGGAGGGATGTGAAAGAGTAGTCCTCACCAGCACTTACTCGTTGCAGCTGTTTGTATTAATCTGCCTATTCACCTCATCTCCGTTAATCTGAATGAATTGAGGATTTATAATTTAGACCCTACCATGTTTAATCGGTAGCGTTAACGCCAAGCATGCACTGCAGTCGTAAATAATCTAAATAAATTGAAGAACTAGAAAATGTTTATTTAGTTCATAGATGTGGTTCACTGGAGGACCATCAACAAAAACGAACTGTAGTTCTCTATGTGGTCTGAAAATATGTCTTATGACTTGAGCTGCTGTAAGGTTGTCTAGGTTCATGTGTGAGGAGTGTTAGGAGCCTAGAGATGCTGCTGTGGCTCCTACTTTTTTTAAATTAGGATTTGTGATTGTCCTACTAGTACTCAAAGTCCTTTTATTTTGTTGTCCGCTCCGCAGAATGCCACCTCCTTCCTTGTGGCTGCCAGAAATGCCAGCGCAACAACAACAACAGTAAGTACACTATGTTCACTGCAGGGTAGTCTGCTTGCTTCATATTCTAACCTGGTTATCATAGTGTAGTGTAAGACACTTGTTTGTGTTCTCTTGAGTATTGATGGAACACACTGACCTTTGTGGATCTACAGATATTATTTTACTAAAATGTAAACATGAAGTCTGTTTGATTAACCCCAGTTCACATCGGAGGAATGTGTTTTATTTGAAGATAAGATGTTCGTTACACGACTTGACTGATTGAACGTTGTGTTTTTTACAGAATCTGAAGGATGTTCTGGCAGACCTCATCCCCAAAGAACAGACCAGGGTCAAGAACTTTAAACAACAGTATGGCAAAACCAACATAGGACAGGTTTCTGTTGACATGGTGAGTGACTCTTGAGGTGTTCGACGGTTAAATGTGTCGAGGGATCAGAATAAACTTGAGAACGACAAAGCCAAGATTCTTCTGATCCACTATGTCAATGAAGGACGGAGCATCGAGGCCATCTTCAATGATGTGGATTAGACGAGGGCATGTTGGCGTCACCTAATCCGTCTAGGCCCGCACAGCCTCATTTACTGTGTCAGGTATCACTGAACGGTCATCTCCCTCAGAGTTCACAGTATGAAGCTATACTTATACATTTCCAAAATACGTCCATTTGTACAGCGCGTCGGTACGTCGCAAGAATGACTGCACCCGGTCAAAGCATGCATGCCTCCTTTAAAACAAGATGCAGCAAAAACGAAACTCAATCATCATTAGAGTGGACGTATGTTAGATGGAGACCTAACAATGTGGTGCTCTGAAAGCTCTCCAAATTGGACACGGTTTATCACAGCCGCACGGACCGATAGTCAAAGCATCCCGGAGCGCTTTGTCAAGGCGGCTCCATGTCCTGTTTTCTTTTGGTCGTGACCAAAGCAGGACATCCACAAGCGGAACGTGTTTCTTTAAGCAGTAGTCACTCAAAAATGTTTCTTCATTGTCCCCATGTTGTCATTTCTGCACCACTGCTGTTGTAGTAGCGTAATGTGTCATCCAACATTGTGAGTCATCCGTTTGATATTTTTGGTTTAATTTAACGGCCATGTAAGAGTGAGAAAATGACTAAAACTTAGGTAACAAACTGTCGTTGGTGTGTAAATCTCTTCGATTATTACCCTTACCCCACACTGATTTTAAAAAAAAAGTACATTTGCCACTGATTATCTTAACTGCATATTACGCTCGTGATGAAATACATCCATGTCCAAACCAGTTAAGGGAGGTACTTAAGTAAATATACTGATTCTCCAGTTCAGAGAAAGTGTTGTTATAACATACATTGATTTAAGTGAATCGATGCTTCACAGCAATCCTTTTGAATTTGAGGTCCAGTCAGGCATCTGACAAATAGGCTCTATATTCTCCTTACACTCGTTTGTTTGGCTTGATACACCAATATACGGTGATAACAAGACGGTTTTTAAAATGTAATGCCACTAACATGCTTGTTTTCATCCACAGGTCTATGGAGGTATGAGGGGCATGAAGGGTCTGGTGTACGAGACCTCCGTGTTGGATCCTGATGAGGTCAGTTTGAATACTCTTGTGTTTTTGGAGATTAGCCTGCCCCAACGGCTCTTATCATGATTTCTTTTTTTAATTAAGCTGAGAGCTTTCAAAGGCAGAGCCATATATCTTGTTAAAGGCTTGGTTTGTCAACTGTGAAAAACTACAGTACCCTGGATTTTAAAAATGGCTGTCGGAGCATTTGATTCATTGATTGCTGCCGGGATGTAATTAGAATTTTAACGAAAAAAAAAAAAGATTTTTGAGGAAGATTACCAGCCCTATCTTTTTAACAGGCCACCACATGGAATAACATATTCTATGGTAGAGTTAGAGCTCATGTTGGCAGCTTGTCATCACTCACTTGATCGTGCGTTTCAGGATCATTTATTTATTTCTCTCTCTCCATTGATGCACAGGGCATCCGTTTCCGGGGCTACAGCATTCCAGAGTGCCAGCAGCTGCTGCCTAAAGCTCCAGAAGGTGCAGAGCCGCTGCCTGAGGGCCTCTTCTGGCTGCTGGTCACGGGACAAGTGCCCACTGAGGAGCAGGTGAGTGGCAGGCGAGCGCTGGACCATCAAAGATAAACGTGCCCGAGTTCTAATGAGGGAGGACTTTGCAGCTGTTCATTTGCTCCATCCATCCAATGTTTCAGCATTTTCGAAACTACATATTCCTGCAGAATCATGAATATTAGATGAAGGTGACCGATGTTCTATCAGTTCAAAGAGTAACTTGGTATAATGTGAGTGCCAACATGATTACTGTTGCCTTGCCTAAACGACTTTGTCAATTATGTATGACTCCAGAAAATCATCTCGTATATACTCAGGATTGTTTTAAAACTGGGGAACACGACACTTTCATTACCTTTCCTAAATAGGCATTTTATTGCTGCCAGCGATGTCTTTGAAGAGAGGGTAACCTGACTGATAAGCCTTCACCTTTTACCTCTTAACCCCTTTGTTGTTTGATATTCTGTTCTTTTTAATGCATCTGCAGGATAAGTTAGTTTCTCCCAAACAAACTGTTTTCCTTCTACTTGTAAAACAAACACTGCACCGCTTCATTGGCGCTGTGGTTGACGTTACAATTTAATTCATGCACATGTGCATGTTGCACACATTGTTATCTTATCTCGACGTTGAAAAAGCAGAGAGAGTGAACTATATTGCGTGCTCCTGTTCCTCCAGGTGAGCTGGGTGTCCAAAGAGTGGGCGAAGAGAGCAGCCCTCCCCTCTCACGTCGTCACCATGTTGGATAATTTCCCCACAAACCTGCACCCCATGTCTCAGTTCAGTGCCGCCATCACAGCTCTGAACAGCGAGAGCAGCTTTGCCCGGGCGTACTCTGAGGGCGTCCACAAGTCCAAGTACTGGGAGGTGAGTTTACAGGAAATCTCTTCTCAAACCGGTGTGGTGGCTTGTTTGCTGTTTACTTTAGCACATCCCTTCTGTGTTGGTTCTCTTAGTTTGCCTATGAAGACTCCATGGACTTGATCTCCAAGCTGCCCTGCATTGCCGCCAAGATCTACCGCAACCTGTACCGCGAAGGCAGCAGCATCGGAGCCATCGACTCGAACCTGGACTGGTCCCACAACTTCACCAACATGCTGGGCTACAGCGATGCCCAGTTCACTGAGCTGATGAGGCTCTACCTCACCATCCACAGGTGCAACTTCAAGCGTACCTGTCACATTATAAGCTAGCTTTGATTTTCTAGGTTTTTGTTGGAGGAGTATAGGGGGGCAATACAGCAGCTTGGGCTGGATAATGCTTTCGTAAAGCAAGCAACTGAAATACCTGTCTAATATTCTACTTAAATAACATTTGATACTAAAGTAATGAGTGTTATTGGACTCGAGTAAACCCTCGTATCGCTAAAGCCTGTCATCTCTAGAGCTACGCTGTAAAACATCTAAATTTAGACCATTAAACGTTGTTCAGTTTATCTCAAGGCGCCTTACATCAAGGTTACACTGGTCTTGTTCAGCCATGCCGTGCATGGGCCTGTCAGTCAAAGTTTGTGTGGTGCAACTTCTACTGTTATCTAAGTAATAAATACTGGGTGATACTGTTTTACACAACCTGTAGTTATATTAGGCATCAAACCTATCTACCAAGCAGAACAATCGGCACTCTTTCGTTAAAATCAGTGATTTGATCGCAAACAGTTTGCCACTCAGTGTTGAAATGTAGTGGATGTCAGTTTAATCTCAGACAAATTGTGACTTGTTTTTTGTTTTGATGTACATTTTTGTTAATTTGAATGTGTATATTTGTTTTGTAACGTTCCAGTGACCACGAAGGAGGAAATGTCAGTGCACATACCAGCCACCTGGTGGGCAGTGCGCTGTCTGACCCCTACCTTTCCTTCAGCGCTGCCATGAACGGTCTGGCCGGTCCTCTGCATGGCCTCGCTAATCAGGTTTGTACTAAGCAAACAATTGTTTTCACTCTGTTTTCACGTTCACAAAATGCAGTTCTGCTGAAGGCTGTGTTTATCTCGTCTCCCAGTTGGCATTTCTTTCACAGGGGACATTTTGCTGCTTTGGTTTCGTGGTTTTCATGTCTTACTGGGACACTTGAACATATCTTTAGTATTATTATAAGAGAAGCATTTCCCTGATGTGGTATTTCTTACTGAAATGCAGCACAAGCTCATATAATATCATGGAAAAGTCTAAATTGTGTGCATTCTGTTATTAAGAATTCATGTTTATTGTGTATAATGACTGTTTATTATATTCTGCATCTCACAGGAGGTACTGGCGTGGCTGACTGCCCTGCAGAAGGAGTTGGGCGGAGAGGTGTCTGATGAGAAGATGAGGGATTACATCTGGAACACTCTGAAGTCTGGAAGGGTAAAGACACCAGTTCCTCTACAGACTCTAGAGGTGTTGTAATGTACTGTTGTTGATCCACAATCAGTACGGATCCCCCCCTCTCGGTTCGGCACGCATGTGAACCGCGGATTAATTACACAGTTTAACTATCAAAATGTGAAATAAAATTTTACTGACGATTATTATAGGCCAATATATAGAAGAATACCAACCCTGGCTTTAACACTCGTAATAATAATAACTGTTCTAAAGGCTGTGCAAATATCACATGCAGCAGAAGGAGTTGCACAGTTCAGAAGTTGAGGAAAGTGTTGTCGTCTCTCTTCGTAGGTTGTGCCAGGCTATGGTCACGCTGTCCTGAGGAAGACCGACCCACGTTACACCTGTCAGCGCGAGTTCGCCCTGAAGCACTTGCCCAATGACCCCATGTTCAAGATGGTGGCCCAGCTGTACAAGATCGTGCCCAACGTGCTCCTGGAGCAGGGCAAGGCCAAGAACCCCTGGCCCAATGTGGACGCCCACAGTGGAGTGCTGCTGCAGGTAAGAGACATGCAGTAGATCACGCACCTGTCATCCTGTGGCGGCAACTGCAGACCCCCGACAGGCCTGACTCTCTCTCGCTCTCTCCTCCGTCTGCAGTACTACGGAATGACGGAGATGAACTACTACACCGTGCTGTTCGGCGTGTCCCGAGCCCTCGGCGTGCTGGCTCAGATGGTGTGGAGTAGAGCCCTGGGCTTCCCCTTGGAGCGCCCCAAGTCCATGAGCACAGACGGACTGATGACACTGGTGGGAGCCAAGTCCGGCTGAAGAACCACCTGGAGAAGAGCTGGGGGGTTAGTGTGAAGGGTGGGGAGGAGGTGGGAACATCAAAAGGCAGACATAAGTGTTTGACCTCCTGTCATTTCCAACCCCAGGGATTCAAAGAGACAGTACGCTTTTAATGTCATTTCACAAAAGAAGGGCCTTTTTTTTAACCGTCACACTATTTGTTTGAGTGCATTTAGTTTAAAAAGACAAGTTTTCCCGTAAGGTCTCCAACACTTCAGACACATAAATGTAACCTATAGTAGGCTCAAACTATGTACCGTTATAAGTCTGCTAGCATCCCCTGTGCAGCGCCTGTGTGTTTGTCACTGGGCACCGGGTCTGGACTATGACTAGGCAGTGGCATCCAAAGGGAATTGTGGAAGTAAATAAACGCTTCCTTTGTATTTGTTTAAAGATCTAAAGTTAAATGCGTGACTCAACCTTTTCCTTTTTTTTGGCTAATGCCAATTTTGTTTTAGAGGATATCCAGAAGCATAAGACCCTTTCCCTCCAATTAAGGCTCCCCGCTTAGATTCTTCTATGCAACGTTCCCAGACGTTGTCCCTCCCAGTCTATCCATGTGTTTCACTCCCATTTATGAACACTCCAGCTTACAATTACGGTCCTCACCAATAAAATTAACCAGCTGTTCAAGATAGATATTCAAAAATCATGAAAATCGGTTCAAAGATACTGCCCCTTTAAATCGTTGGTCCCTCCCTTTTCTCCAACTTGTGGTTTCCCTTTTTTTCTTTTTTATGATGACCTGCATTGCCTCTATGATCAAAATAACTGACTTGTCTATATAGAAATTCTTCTTCTTCCTGTTTTGTAATGGTTCTCTGCTCTCCTGACTGGTGGAGGATGCAGAATGTACAGTCACAGTAAAGACAAAGGGTGTTGTAATCGGCAGCCTGTAGTAAATCCTTAAGAGCAAGCTTGAATACAATAAAGTGAGATCGGGGGGGTTTGTATTTGTGTAAGTCCGGTCTTATTTGAGTGTATGTTTGTGACTTTATCCCCACAAGAGAGCGCTTTAAACATCAACCAAAATGAGCACTTGCTTGATCGGATTTCCTAATTTGTAGTAGTAGAGGACCCCCCCCCCCAGGTTGATTGTGTCCCTTTTACAGAGTTTTTTTGGTGTTGAAAATGTGTAAAACTATAATCTTTGGGTTCTCATTTTGTAGTTTTATTTATACTTTGTGTACATAGGGGTATAATATGTATAGCTTGAATGTATGAGCTCTGTGCGATCACTTGCTTGTAATGACCACAATGATTACCGTAGTTTACCAACAATGTATTGTCCAGCCTCACTGTGACATTCTGACAACGAACAAAAAGACAACCCGCAGCTATCTTGTATATACACGATTTCTTGCCTTGCTCTGTGGGCTTAGCCGGTGCTGTTTTTCAGGTGTTTCACTTGAATGTTTCAAGCTTGCTCTTAAGTGCTGGGTTTGTCAACACTCCATTTTTGTGTAGTTTAAATTCTTGCATCCTTTTTTTTTTTTTTTTCTTGCCGTATGAGTCAGTAATTCACTCTGTTTGGATCTCTGCTCTGCTACCACCTTCCTTCTGGCTTTTATCAGGCGTGTTTGTGTTTTTCCTTGTGGGGTGTTCAAGAGACGTGGTTATTTTGATCGTAGAGGAACAGTTGTACATGATAACTGGGAGCATTCGGTGCAGGTGGATTCATCAGAGAAACACTTTGGGATTGGGGTTGGATGTATCAAAAGGGCAAGTTAAACTTGAGGAAAACCTAACAAAAAAATGAGAAAAAGAATAAAGGTTTTTATTAACATTTTTGGGGTTTCTCATTTTTTTTAAAGTATAGAAAAGGAGCCTGTAAAATAAGTCCTTTCCCCTCACTTTAAGGAGACGATTCCAATTATGTGATATTTCTAACTGATCTGCATACACAACCACTGAAGAGTGAGGGCAGGGTCGTGCCCATCATGTCTAAATATAAGGTAGACGGTGCATTTTACTCTGTAAACTTTACGTCACTCCTGCTGAGCCATGCAGCATCAGACAATAACATTTTGGAAACTTCCTGACCAGAGAAGTTTGTTTAGGCCTGCGTTTTATATAATAAATACAATTGACATGATTGAGAAGGAAGATAGCGCCGAACACCGAGCTCTACTATTTGCTGTTATTAATAACTGTCCCAAATACCATCACCCTGCTCTGGTTTCTCGTGCCGGTCAGCTGCCTTTTGACACTGCACACATACTGTTTGTGGTGGTAAAGTTCAGCAGTGCTTTGACTCTAAAAATTAAAAATAAAACTGCACACAGGAACAAATTGCACCTTTTTTTATTTAAATAAAGCTCTGAAATACACACAGTATTTACAAGGATGCACTTAAGTTTGCAACAGAAGAGAAGTGCATGCTTAAGAGTATGCAAAATGGTAATATATTCTATTGTAGCAACTCCATCCTTATATACATACTGGACTGCTACTGTTAGACCAATGGTCAGTCACACAATTACTGTTACTGGGGAGAGCTGAGGTGATCATATTATACTCTGATTTATATTTGGATGTTTTGGCAACTACAAAAATAAAACTTGGCAAGAAATTCAATCTTTCGGCAACATACTGAAAATAAAATGTCTAGCAAAAAGACAAACTTAGAGTTCAAATGCATTCTTACAAGATGCAACATTACTGACATAAGCGCCATGCATTAATAGAATTCTAATATGGCATTAAATAGACTGTCTATATTAATTCATAAAGATACAACACTCAAAGTAGCATTTTACAATCTTTAAAAGTTGGACTGATTTATTTTTTAAGTCAGCGATTCACAGAATGATTTTGATTTAGTTAACATTCTTCATGCATTGATTAACTGTCCATTACCAACACAGAACATAAAACGTCAGCATTGAGGACAAAACGCAGCTTTGAAAATACCGTTTTCTTTGGGTACAAGACTTGGCGCATGTGATGTAACGTTCTGCCTGTTATGAGGAAGGTCACAGACTTCTTCTGTTGACATTTTGCTACTTGAACACAGTCAACTCTTAAAAATGGCAGATATACAATCAATGAGCCCTTTATCGTGGAATAAAGCCATGGGCTGCTCATACATGAAAGATAAGTCACGCACGAATAATGAAACCCATAAACACTATCTTTGCCTCTGTTGGTTAGATCAATGCATCATCATGTATATTTTTAAAAGCTGAACTTCCCAGAAAATAAGCATGAAACCCATAGACAGTGATCAATGATTGATAATGTTTTATTCTGCAGCCCTAGAGTATATTTTAAAGCAACAATGTACACAATAGAACTGTAACACCCTCCTGTGACGACCTGTGAACTGTAAAATACAAAAAGCAGAGAAACGTTTACAGCATGTTTTACATATTGATGTTAACCCGGCAGTTATATAACTCAGCTCATCAAAAGAATGGCTATGATCATTTAGTGATGACCTGGAAAAGATGTAAGATCTAGATTTGTAACCCCATTTGCAGTATTTCACAGTACTCTCCAGTTTATAAGGTGCTCTTGTTGGTGCAGAGTTAAGACCCCCGCCCCCCTGTCAATGTTCTGGGGCTGTAAAATAAGACATTATTAAAAGTGGCAGGACAAGTCTCAATGTCCAAAAACACAATTCTCACAGCACATCAACATCCAAGTTAAAGCAAAATGTCCCAAACCTCAAGGGCACAGCGGACCAATGAAGAAATGTTGCACTTCAATAATATTGTCCCAACATACAGCGACAACACTCAACGCCCCAACATGGCGCATTAATGTGAACCCCAATAAAACAATAAGCAAATTCTAATGAATAAATTAAAAAAGGATGAAATGAATTATCATTTTGCACCAGGATACGTACTATATGTCAAACAATATACTTAGATAATGAATGTGAATGGTAAAAGTAGAGGCAAAGATTACGCTCTCCTCGTACGGTACGAGCAGCTGAAGCTAACTAAAGAGTGAACACTGATTCGATATCGTGTCGGTGTGGAATAGATCACAGTGAATGACAAAACTTGATCCCCGTCCAGAGCAAACGTCTGTGCCCTTTTCTAAAAAATAAAAAAGGCGGTTTTGTTCAGTGTCACTGTGTTTTTCTTTTGAAATAATAGTCCAGTCTACCATCATGTCGTTGCAATGATTTACTGTTTCGTGTACACAAATGCAGCGTGTAACTGCCATGGAAGCGAGAGCAAAGGTGGGTTCCTTCTGATAAACAAGCATCCTTTAAGTGGACAGACTCAACACACAGATGAGATAAACTAGAGTGTGTTGAGGCAGGAACTCCAACGTAACGCTCTACTAGAGTATGCCAGGATGTCTATGTGGCGCTGGGGGGGGGGGGGGGGG